CTGATTTAGTTGCGAAACAAGAGGACAATGGTGCAATTATTGGTGAGTAATAGCTGTGTGTTTGTGCCTCTCTAATTGAGAAAGATTGAGTTCAGCATCTCTCGAAAGCGAGAGCCAGCTGTTCAGGAGTGTAAGGTAATCAGCAACTAATCACCACTCAAATTAACAGGCCGCTACCAAACACAGAGCAACAGCAATCTCTGACTGTTCCAGAAAACCCTCCAGCGGCCAATCAGCTTGTCACACAATGTGGCCCTGAGTCTCACTGACTGACTGCACAGAACCCAGACAGAGTGACCATCTCTCAGGGACAGAACTGACTCAGAGTCTGGCATGGATAGATGGTTTGCTGACTGGCAGGAGGCAGGGAGTGGGGTTAAAGGGTTTTTTTTCAGGATGGCAGCTGGTGGAGTTCCGCAGAGACCAGTGTTAGGACCACAACTATTCACGTTAGAGATTAACGATCTGGACTAAGGAACTGAGGGCATTGTTGCTAAGTTTGTAGATGACACAAAGATAGGTGGAGGGACAGATAGTGTTGAGGAAGTGAGGGGAATGCAGAAGGATTTGGACAGGCTGGGAGAGTGGGTACAGAAGTGGCAGATGGAACACAATGTAGGAAAGTGTGAGGTTATACACTTTGGTATGAAAAATTGAGGCATGGACTATTTTCTAAATGGGGAAAGGCTTTGGAAATCTGAAGTGCAAAGGGACTTGGGAGTCCTAGTTCAGGATTCTCTTCAGGCAAACAGGCAGGTTCAGTTGGCAGTTAGGAAGGCAAATGTAATGTTAGCATTCATTTCAAGAGGGCTAGAATACGAGAACAGGGATGTGCTGCTGAGGCTGGATACAGCTCTGGTCACACTACTGGGGGGAGTCCAGAGGAAGTTTACAAGAATGATCTCGGGGATGAAGGACTTGTTGTATGAGGAATGGTTGAGAACTCTGGGCCTGTACTTGATGGAGTTTACAAAGAAGAGGGGGATTTGACTGAAACTTGCAGAATTCTGAGAGGCCTGGATAGAGTGGATGTGGGGAATATGTTTCCACCGGTAGGAGAGCCGAGGATCCAAGGGCACAGCCTCAGAGTGAAGGGGTGACCCTTTAGAACTGATGTGAGGAGAAACTTCTTCAGCCAGAGGGTGGTGAATCTGTGGAGCTCATTGTCACAGAAGGCTGTGGAGGCCAAGTCATTGAGTGTATTTAAGGCAGAGATAGATAGGTTTCTGATGAGTAATGGGATGAAGGATTGCAGGGAGAAGGCAGGACAATGGGCTTGAGAAATATATCAGTCATGATTGAATGGCAGACCAGACCCGGTGGACTGAAGAGCCCAATTCGACTCATATATCTTATGCTCTTATGGCCTAAACATGGGACATGGGAATAGAGAACAAAAATAGGAGAATAAAAGAAGTGGGGGAGAGAATGTAACGTTTGCACAATGTTCAGCACCATTCGTGACTCCTCAGATACTGAAGCAGTCCATGTTCACATGCAACAAGATCTGGACAATATCCAGGCTTGACCTAAAAAGTGGCAAGTAACATTCGTGCCACACAAATGCCAGGCTATGACCTTCACCAATAAGAGACAATCTAACCACTGTCGCTTGACATTCAATGGTGTTACCATCACTGAATACCCCACTATCAACATCCTGGGGGTTACCATTGACCAGAAACTCAACTGGACTCACCACATAAACACAGGGGCTACAAGAACAGGCCAGAAGCTGGGAATACTGAGGCGAGTATCACACCTCCTGACTCCTCAAAGCCTGTCCACCATCCACAAGGCACAAGTCAGGAGTGTGATGGAATATTCCCCACTTGCCTGGATGGGTGCAGCCCCATCAACACTCAAGAAGCTCAATACCATCCAGGACAAAGCAGCCGCTTGATTGGCACCACATCCACAAGAATCCACTCCCTCCACCACCGATGCTCAGTAGCAGCAGTGTGTACCATCTACAAAAAATTCACCAAAGTTGATAGTACCTTCCAAATCCATGACCACTTCCATCTAAAAAGAGGAGAAATTGCTCAAAAAACTCAGCAGGTATGTTTCAGGTTTTTTTTCATTACTGATTCTAACCAGGCAAAGGTGTTACATTTGCTGAAGATAGGGGTAGGGGGAGGAGGAAGGAGGTTGAAGTTGGAGTCTGGAGAAAGAGAGAAAGACCACTGGACAGACAGATAATTGAGTAATGGTCAGCCTAGGGCTGTTAGTGGTTATAGTAGATCATGTGATAATAAGGCCTGATGTGTGGGGGTTGGGGTAGGGTCTTGAGAGAAGGTGCCTCAAGCCCTAAAGTTATTGAACTCGATATGGAGTCCGGAGGGCTGCAGGGTCCCCAAGTGGAAAATGAGGTGTTGTTCTTCCAGCTTGTGTTGAGCTTCACTGGAACATTGCAACAAGCCAGAGACAGAGACGTTGGCCAGGGAGCAGGGTGGTGTGTTAAAGTGACAGGAAACAGGTAGTTCCGGGTCTTTTTTGTGAGCAGAACGTAGATGTTCTGCGAAGCGGTCGCCAAGTCTACGCTTCGTTTCCCCAATGTAGAGGAGACCACATTGTGAGCAGCGAATGCAGTAGACTAGATTCTGGGAAGTGCAGGTGAAGTGTTGCTTCACCTGGAAGGTATGATTGGGCCCTTGGATAGTGGGGAGGGAGGAGGTAAACGGGCAGGTGTTGCACCTTCGCCGGTTACAGGGGAACATAGAACATAGAACATGACAGCGCAGTACAGGCCCTTCGGCCCTCGATGTTGCGCCGACCTGTGAAACCAATCTGAAGCCCATCTAACCGAAACTATTCCATTATCATCCATATGTTTATCCAATGACCATTTAAATGCCCTTAAAGTCGGCAAGTCTACTATTTTTGCAGGCAGGCCCTTACTACTCTCTGAGTAAAGAAGGTGCCGTAGGGCTGTGGGGAGGTGTTGGGGGTGAAGGAAGTGTGGACCAGGGTGTCCCGGAGGGAACGGTCCCTGCAGAAGGTGGACAAGGGAGGGGAGGGGAGTATGTGTCTGGTGGTGGCTTCTTGCTGGAGGTGGCGCAAATGGCATCTGATGATCTTCTGGATGTGGACGCTGGTGGGATGGTAGGTGAGGATAAGGGGAACCCTATCGCTGTTGCGGGAGGGAAGAGAAGGGGTGAGGGCGGAAGTGCAGGAGATGGGTTGCACCCAATTGAGGGCCCTGTCGACAACGGAGCTGGGGAATCCTCAGTTGAGGAAGAAGGTGGACATTTCAGAGGCTCCCTTGTTGAAGTTGGCCTCATATGAACATATACGACATAGAGGAACTGAGAGAATGGGATGGAGTCTTTACAGGAAGTGAGGTGTGAGGATGTATAGTCCAGGTAGCTGCGGGAGTCGGTGGGTTTGTAATGGATATTAGTGGCCAGTCTATCCCCAGAAATGGAACCAGAAATGTCGAAGAAGGGAAGGGAGGAGTCAGAGATAGACCAGGTGAAAGTGAGGGCAG